GCAAAGACACCACTAAAAAAGAAAATTATAGACCAATATCCCTCATGAATATAGACGCAATACTTCTAAACAAAATTCTAGGCGATAGAATTCAACAGCATATAAAAAATAATAATAATAATAAGTGGGCTTCATTCCAGGTATGCAAGGATGGTTCAACATTAGAAAATCAATCACTGTAATCCACCACATAAATAATAACAAAGGACAAGAATCATACGATCATCTCAATCAATGCAGAAAAGGCATTTGATAAGAGTCCAACACCCATCCCTGATAAAACTCTCAGCAAAATAGAAACAGAAGGGAAGTTCCTCAACATAATTAAGGACCTATATACAAAACTAACAGCCAACATTATTCTCAGTGGAGAGAGACTGAAAGCGTTTCCCTTGAGAACAGGAACCAGACAAGGATGCCCTTTATTGCCACTCTTATTCAATATTGTAGTGGAAGCCCTAGCTAGAGCAATAAGACAAGAAAGGGAAATAAAGGGCATATAAATTGATAAGGAAGAAGTAAAACTACCCCTATTCACCAGTGACACGATTATATACATAAAAAATCCCAAAGACTCCACAAGAAAGCTACTGAAACTAACAGAAGAATTCAGTAAAGTGGCAGGGTACAAGATCAACATACAAAAATCAGTTGGATTCCTCTGCATTAACAAAGAGAACTCCAAAAAGGAAATCAGAAAAACAATACCATTTACAATAGCCCTCAAAAAGATAAAATACTTAGGAATAAATATATCTAGCGATATAAAAGCCATATACAAAGAAAACTACAAGAAACCAAAAGAGACCTCCATAAATGGAAAAATATTCCATGGATAGGAAGACTTAACATTGTGAAAATGTCAATACTATCCAAAGCAATCTATACATATAATGCAATCCCGATCCAAATTCCAACAACATTCTTTAATGAGACAGAAACACTAATCACTAACTTTATATAGAAAGGAAAGAGACGACAGATACGCAAAGCATTACTGAAGAAGAACAAAATAGGGGGCCTCAGACTCTCCGATCTCGGAACCTACTATACAGTCACAGTAGTCAAACAGCCTGGTACCGGTATAACAGACACATAGACCAATGGAACAGAAGTGAGAACCCAGAAGTAAATCCATCTACCTATGGACAGCTGATCTTCAACAAAGGATTGGAATCGATTAAATGGGGAAGAGAAAGTCTCTTTAACAAATGGTGTTGGCAAAACTAAATATCCATTTGCAGAAAAGTAAAACAAGATCCATACCTCACACAATAAACAAAAACTACCTCAAAATGGATCAAAGACCTAAATGTCAGGCCTAAAACTATAAAGATCATGGAAAGAAAACAGGGACAATGCTAGGGGACCTAACATACGGCATAAAGAGATTACCAAACGTAACTAAAAACACACAAACAGCAGAAGATAAACTAGATAACTGGGATCTCCTAAAAATCAAACACTTGTGCTCATCAAAAGACTCTACCAAAAAAGTAAAAAGAGAACCTACATACGGGGAAAAAATTTTTGGCTATGACATATTCAACAAGGGTTTAATCTCCAAAATTTATAGAAAACTTCAACACCTCAACAACAAAAAGACAAACAATCCAGTTAAAAAACTGGCAAAGGACATGAACAGATACTTCACCAAAGAAGACATTCAGGCAGCTAACAAACACATGAAGGAACACTAGAGATCATTAGCCATTGTTGTTTTTGCTGTTAGATGCCATCAAGTTGGTTCTAACTCACAGCGACCCTATGTACAACAGAACGAAACACTGCCCAGTCCCACGCCATCCTAACAATCGTCGCTATGTTTGAGCCCATTGTTGCAGCCACTGTGTTGATCCGTCTCCTTGAGGGTCTTCTTCTTTTTCACTATTAGAGAGATGCAAATCAAAACTACAATGAGACACCATTTCTCCCCAGGAAAAATGATATTAATCAAAAAATCAGAAAACAGTGAATACTGGTGAGGTTGTGGGGAGACTGGAACTCTTATACACTGCTGGTGAGAATGTAAAATGGTACAATCACTATGGAAAACAGTATGGTGCTTTCTTAAAAAGCTAGACTAGAAATACCATATGATCCAGCAATCCCACTCCTAGGTATACATCCTAGAGAAATAAGAGCCGTCACAAGAATAGACATGCACACCCATGTTCATTGTAGCATCGCTCACAATAGCAAAAAGATGGAAACAACCTAAATGCCCATCAACAGATGAACGGGATAAACAAACTGTGGTACATACACACAACGGAATGCTACACAACGATAAAGAATAATGATGAATCCGTGAAACATCTCACAACATGAATGAATCTGGAGGACATTATGCTAAAGCGAAATAAGTCAATCACAAAAGGACAAATATTATAAAAAGTTAAGAATAGGTTCTCACACAGAAAGAAACATTCTTTGATTGTTACCAGGGAGGGGAGGCGGAGGGAGGGAGAATCACTAACTAGATAGTAGATAAGTGTTAACTGTGGTGAAGGGAAAGGCAATACACAACATGGAGGAAGTCAGCACAAGGTCACCAAGGCAAAGGAAGACACTGAACGGCACACAAGAAGAAAGGACGACTATGGAAACCCTGGGGGCGTAGTGGTTAAGAGCAACGCTGCTAACCAAAAGGTCAGCAGTTCGAATCCACCAGGTGCTCCTTGGAAACCCTATGGGGCAGTTCTACCCTATCCTATAGGGTCACTGTGAGTTGGAATCAGCTCAATGGCAATGGGTTTGATTTGTTTTTTTTTTTTTTATGGTTAATGCTATAACGTATACAATCCTGCAACAAAAGTAATAACAAAAAACAATTTATGAGTAGATACGTAGGCAAATATGCATGCTAAATAGGTGAGGATGGTCATACAGGAGTACACCCGTGTACATATATAAGTATGGGTGTGGTGGATATTTCCACATACATATTTGTAAATGCTGCATGTATACTCATATTTGTAACAGCGCACATATGGGGCACAGTTATAGAACTACTTAGACATCGGGACTGAACTACTGGACTTGAAGGCTAAGGACCACAGTCTCAGGGGACATCTAAATCAATTAGCAAACACAGTTCACAAAGACAATGTTCTACGTCCTACTCTGGTGAGTAGCATCTGGGGTCTTAAAAGCTTGCGAGTGGCCATCTGGAAAACAATTATTGGTCTCTTCCTGCCTGGAACAAAAGAGAATGAAGAAAACCGAAGACGCAAGGAAGCAATTTAGTCCAAAGGACTAATGGCCCACATGAACCACAGCCTCTTCTAACCTGAGATCAGAAGAACTAGATGGTGCCCAGCTACCACTACCGACCACTCTAACCAGGTCCATAATAGAAGGTCTTGGATAGAATGGGTAAAAAATGTACAACAAAATGCAAACTAAAAAAGACCAGACTTACAGGTCTGAAAGAGGCTGGAGGGACTTCCAAGACGATTGCCTTAAGACAATCTTCTAACTTGAAACTGAAGACACTCCTGGAGGCCACCTTTCTGCCAAATAATAAAATAAACAATAACACCTGTGAAGAATGTGCTGCTTAGAACAATCAACTATTTTCCTCTACAGTTCCCAACGTTTTCCCAAAATCAAAGATGAGAAGGCAGAAAGGGGCAGGGATTTGTGATGAACAGAAACGGGGAACCTAGGGAGGAAATGGTGAGAGTGCTGGCACATAGTGGGGATTGCAGCCAACGTCACAGAACAATTTGTGTATGTATTATTAATTGGAAAACTAATTTGCTATGTAAACTTTCACCCAAAGCACAACAAAACGTTAAAAAAAAAAAAGTCTGTGTGTCTGGAAAAACATATGGGACTTTGGATGTGCCACTGGTTTAAAAACAAAACACTGCCCCAAGTGAAGAAGGAGGTCCAGGAGCGCACGGAGGGGCGGGGGCACCCTTCTGGGCCAGCTTCGGTGAGTGCCCTCTGCTCAGCAGGGGAAAGAATCTCTGCGGTCACAGGTTAATTCATTCCGTTCTGAGGAGCACCTTCTGCGTGCAGGCGCTATGGCTACAGCAGAGAACAAAGCAGGTCCCTGCCCTCCTGCCGTTCCAGTCACTTAGCAAGGAGCTGGCTCTCTCTCAGAGGAGATTCCTGACCAGACTTTATGTCTGCTTGAGGGGTGCCCTCTCCTGGCGCGCCCGCTTTCTCGGGAAGAACTTCAAGGGCGGCAGAAGCAGTAGCCAACCCTGATGAACCACGGACACAGCAGGAGTCTTCGGGTTCTAGAAGACTGTGGTTGGAGGTCCAGACCCACCACCCTTTTCCAGCAAACTGCTCTTTGAGTCTCATTTTTTTTTTTTTTCTCATCTGTCAATGGGCTAACACCTACTACCTCAGTGTTTGTTTTAAGGGTAAAATACGATCACGAATGTGCTATCACGAATGTAATATCCGCTCTTCTCAAATCCAGGGACCTCTCCCCACTTGTCTCTCTAGATGTCGGGGGAAAGAGAGGGTCTTCCCCGCCCCATGCCCATGCTGACCTGAGCCTTCCACCCAACCTGGGCTGGAGGAAGCCCCTTCTGCTCCAAGCAGCAAGGGTTTATTGCGCTCTTGCTCTCTGCCCTGGGGGCTGCGGCCCACCCTCTTCCCTGTGCTCTCTGACCGTGCTTGGGAAATGCTGACCGGGCACATGGATGCCCAGTCCGGCGGTAGCCCGCGGGGAGAAGGAAGAAAGGTGGGAACTCCCGTGGCTTCAACAGGGCCAGACGGACCCCCACGGGCAGAGGGCCTCCCCTCACCCGCACCCCGTCTCGCTCGGCCGGAGTTGTATCGTGTATCTGGTCCGAGGAGGCGGGAAGCCTAAGAAATCGCCAACTCTGCAGTCCCTATCCAAGGAGTTTGTCTTAAAGGGATGGGGGCGTGGGGTAAGCACGCGAACGCTCTGAGGAGTGAGAGACAGGACAAGTAAGAAGGCAAAAGTCACCCTGTCTCCGCGGAGACCCTTCTCCATCCACAGCAGCGCCCACCGTCGCACCGGCTCCTGGCGCTGTAGGAGAGCTGGGCGGAGGGGTGCCGGGCGAAGGGCGGGTTGCTGCATTTCACCCGCCGGCCGGCGCAGCGCCGTCCCGGCGCAAACTTTCCAAGACCCGCCTTCGGAGCGACCACTTGGGCTCCAGGAAGCAAGAGGGGTGGCAGCTCGGAGGGAGGGTGCGCCTGGACCGGATGGCGCGAGAGGACGCGCATGGCGAGGGGACCGGCGGGCGGTCGCTGGCCAGGGAGTCCCGCCCTCGGTTACCTGGGTTCTGAGGGTCACGGGGGTCCACTGCAGAGGGCACAGGCCGGCCGGAGACGGGGACACTTCTCCGGGGCCGTAGCGGCCCCCAGACACGCGGATGCTTCACCTGGCCGGGCGGGTCAGCTCGCCTACCCTCGCGGGTTCCGGCTCCTGGTCCTCTCCCGCGCAGGGCGGGGCGGCCCCGGGGGAGGAGCCGAGAGCAGTGGGGCGCCCCTCCTCTCCAGGGGCATGCACCTAACAACATGCCACCTCCCCAGGACTCCGTGACCTCCAAAGGATTGCCTCACCACTCTCAGCCTGAGGTGCAAGGGAGGCCAGGCGCCCAAAGGGAGCCGGGGGTGTGCTTAGGCCCCCTCACCCCCTATACCCTTCGGCTAATATAGTCCACGCCCATTCCCTCCACCTGCAGAGGCTGAGGGCTGGGAACCCGGAGGCCTCCTAGAGGGCAGGGCCACCACCGAGCCTGTGCCCTCAGAAAAATGCATGGGGTGGAGCACAAGGAAAGAGACAAAACAACTGGGTACTCGCAGCTCCAGCCCACACTGTTCTCTTCCCGGGTGGGAGAGGCTCTTGGCTGTTCTTAGCCCCTGCCATCAGTTCCAATCCTCTCTCTCTGCAGCGCCCAGGGCGGTGGTCCTTACCACTCCTCGCTCTTTCCCCCAGAGCTCCCCCTCCCGGGTCACAAGCCCCCAGACTGGAAGGTGCTGGGCCTGACCCCTACCACCCAGAGGACACAGTGATACGAGGTGAAGACACGCAGAGGTCAAAGCAGAAACGTTTGGCTCCTGGCACCCAAATTCTGTGTCTACCCCCCAGCTGCTGAAGGAACAGGTTGTAGTTACTACCTACCCCTTCCCCCCACCCTCCTAGAAAATCCACTCTGGAAAATCCTGGGACAACACCCCCAGACTCAGGTGGGGAGGTGGGCAGGACACCTTCTTGGCCCCACTTTGCAGCTCCAGGTTCTCTGCTTGCCCCGGCTTCCTGCACTGCCTGTTCGCCCAGCGTGCAGACAGCGCAGGGAGCCCTGGGCTGGGAGTCCAGAGAGCTGGGCTCTATCCTCCACTTAGGCCTGTGACCTTGAGCAAATCTCTGCCCCTTTCTGTTTCCCCCTTTGCAAGTGAGTGGGTTGCAGGGGATCATCCCTAAGGCCCTTTTTGTGGGCCCTGAATCCTGCCGTTGGGCACCTTGCTTTATTAGGTTTTTCTGCGGCTGCGCGTCTTGTAAAGGGGTGTGTGTGTTCCTCTCAGTCTAGGTTACCTTGTCCTCTCAGACATAAATTCTTAAAGGGAAAGTGGTTGAGGCTGTGCAAACAGGTAGGCAGTCATCTGTGCAAACAGAGCTTAATAAGATCAGCTAGGCATAAGGAAAAGAGCCCTGGTGGCACAATGGTTAAGCACTTGGCTGTTAATCGAAAGGTTGGCAGTTCAAACCTACTCAGCTGCTCCGAGGGGGAAAGACCTGGCTATCTGCTCCCATAAAGATTACAGCCTGAAAAACCCTATCGGGCAATTCTACTGTGTCACATAGAGTTCCTGTGAGTCGAAAATCAACGCTATGGCACCTAACAACAGGCATAAAGAAGAGAGGATCTCAGGTGCTCTACGCTGCATTCAAGAGTGGCCTCAGACTGGTCAGCAGGGCCCCGCTCTCTGAAGGCTCTAGGCAAGAATCTTTCCTTGCATCTTCTAGCTTCCTGTGGCTCCAGGTATTCTTGGCTTGTGGCTGCATGACTCCAACCTCTACCCTCATCTTCCCATGGTTGTCTTCCCTCTGTGTGTCTGTCTGTATGTCTTCCCTTCTTCTTATAAGGACACCTGTCATTGCATCTGGGGCCCACCCTAAACCCAGGATGATCTCAACATCCTTAACAATTACATCTACAAAGACCTTTTTTCCAAATAAGATCACACTCACAGGTTCTGGGGATTAGGATGCGGGCGTATCTTCCTGGGAGACATCGTTCAACCCAGTACAGCGCCTTTGCTCCTACTAGTGGCACCGGGGCCCAGCGTGGCCAGGTTCCTCCTTTCCTCTTTCCCTCCATTTCTCACCTGTCCCAGCTGCCTGAGCAAAGCCTCCTCCAGCATCTTCTCCATCTGGATGTGCTGTGGAGAGGAAAGCAGACTAAAGCCACATGGGGGCCTGGCAGGGGGCACTCAGTGGGAGGCTGCACCCACTTTGTCTTCCTGTCCTACTGTCTCATGGTCTGAACGTGACTGTTTCAGGAGCACCCTTCATGCCCCTGACATCTTTGCATCGGGCGCATCTGTGGAGAAGCTACCCCTTCCAGAGAAGGTGTTCAGAGAAAGAGGAAGCACCTCTTCTTCCTCCTCGTCTTTCCTGTACCCTCAGGCCCTCTGCCGGTGCCCAGGTCCTGATGTCCGACAGCCCTTTGCCAGGGAAGCAGCAGATCTTTGCCTTCCACGTGGAGAGCCCAGACCCTGTGGGCAAACACCCCTGGGATGGAGGGTCCCTACTCATGGGTCCTGTCCTGAGAGCAGGATTAGAGAGGAGGCGTGTGAGAGCCTGGCCCATAAAGAGTGTGTGTGGAGGGGAGGAGGCCGAGAGGGAGAGGGTGGTCCACATCATCTGGGACTCCCCTTGGTCAGGGTCAGGCCAAGGAGTCTAGCTCAGGGGTCAGACAACTGCCTGCCTGGGGAGAGACCAAGAGGGCCAGCCCATCACTCAGGCACCTGAAGGAAGCCCACCAGGCCCGCCCTGTGCCAGATGGGCTCTCTCGAGGCCAGTATTCATTGAGATCCGCAGAATCCTGAAGGGCCTGCAGAGTCATTTGACCCAAGGAGTAAAGATGCTTAGAGAGCAGCAGAGGTGTCCTAGAAAGGACCTGTGGGTGTGTGGTGTGTGCAGGGTTGCCTCTGTCTCGAATGCCGACTTCCCAGGCCCTGGCAGTATCTTTACAGCAGCTGAGGGCCCATAGTTCCTTTGTAAGAGGGGCTTAGGCATCTGCCTGCTTGCAGGTGGAGCTCTACGGGGCTGCTCTTGCAGCTACATTAGTAAAGAAGCACACTTTTTAATGTAGGTGAAGGTTTATTTGGGGTGGCTTAGGTGAGAGAGCTGACAGAGATTATGAAGGGGATTTAGTGGTTAATGCACTTGGATGCTAACTGAAAGTTTGGAAGTTCAAGTCCACCCAGAGGTACCTTGGGGCAAGACCCAGCCATCTACTTCTGAAAAATCAGCCATTGAAAACTCATCGAATCGACTCCTACTCATGGTGACCCTATGGGTGCCAGAGAAGAACTGTGCTCCAGAGGGTTTCCAATGGCTGATCTTTTGGAAGTAGATCACCAGGCCTTTCTTCCAAGGTACCTCTGGGTAGACTTGAACCTCCAAGCTTTTGATTAGCAGCCAAGCTCATTGTCCATTTGCATGACCCAGGGACTTCATCAGTTATACACAGGTCATTTCCTTGGAACTGACCGGCTTCTAGCCAGGCCTCAAAACCGGGTGCAGACAGCATGGGGGATATCATATTACACCTGGTTTTCTCCTTCTTCCAGCCGCCTGAGCCCAGCACTAGGCGTGGACGCTGCAGATGCTGGAGGCACGGAGGCTGAGCCAGATGCTGGGGCTGGGATGGGGGCTCCTGGGCAGCCTGGGTATCTGCTCTCTGTCTGAAGCTGCTGCCTCTTCTCCGGGACTAAAGGCCTTCGAAGACCGTCCCACACCAAAGTTCCCCTGTGAACGTGACCGGAGAGGGCCTTCCTTGGCTCCCAGCTCTGCAAGACCCAGGCAAAACCTTTACTCTGCTCTCTGTCAAGAGTCACAGAACACCCATCACCTTTAACCCAGAAATCCCTCACCTGAGAGCTTGTCCTAAGGAAATCATCCCCAGCCTTGTAAAAGCTCTTTGAACAAAGTTGCAGCATTATGTCCAGTCACAGGAAACTGGAAGCACCCTAAATGCCCAGCTCTGCCACACTGGGGAAGTAAACAACAGCTCACCCATTTTAAAAGCTAATTGTGAGCACTCTGTTGCAACACGGAAAAATGCTGCTGATGTAGTGCTGAATGCAGAACTCCATCGGGCACTCTCCCAGCTGTGAGAAACCTGTATCCGCGCAGGTGCAAGGACCGGAGGGGAATTGGAAAAGAAAAAAAAGCAGAAATGCCTGTTCATGGGTTCGGAGGATTGTGGGTGATTCTTTTTTCTGATTTCTGGTATTGTTGAGACATCGGTTGTGTTTAATAAGAGTTGGGACATCGGTTGTTTGATATGAGAATATAATGACTGTAATTACTATTATTATTAGCCCTGTGTTCAGGGAAGTTTCTTGAAGACACCTATTCAAGCACAGGTGTAAATGAGCACAGGTCCTAATGTGGGCCACCTCCCTGGAGTATTTGCATTTCAGAGAAGACCAGAGCTGTAAACCAACAGCAGTATTCAGGCCAGGGGGACGGAGCTATTTCACAGGCCAGAAGGCCCTGAGAGCACTTTAGATAAGCCCCCTTCTCCACACACTCACCCACCAGATGCCCCCAGCCTGCTAAGTTCAGTGTACCCTCCTTGTGGGGCCAGAGAGGAAGCCGACGCACATTACTGGAGAGCTTTCAGGTAGCTCAGGCCCCGAGCCTCACGTTATTGGACATCGTTGTATTCAATAATAATACCTGCAGAGTCAGTATTGTTTCCCCATTTTACAGATGGGGATACTGAGGGGCAGGGAAAGGTGCTGAGGGTACCACAGCTAGCGAAAGGCAGGACTGAGAGCTGAATCCAGGCGGGCCTCAGCCAAGGGTAGGGTCCTTCTCTGCTCTGTTTTTGGATCTTTCTGTGGGTAGAGGAGGGGAGAGGTGACCCAGTACGATTCAGAGCCTCCTCAGCGGGAGGCTGGGTGGGGGAGGACACTTCTAGAAATAGGGCTGGGCGGGGGTACTGACCCCAGGGAAGAGGGACTTGGCGCTGGGCCTGAAGCTTAGA